TTTGTAGATGTATTTAATCAGGTTGAGGAGGTTTCTTGCTCTTTCTGGATAACTGAGAGTTTTTATTAAGAATCAGCACTGGATTTGTTCAAATGCTTTTTCTGTGTCTACTGAGATGAATATCTATATATCTAAATCTATCTATTACCTATTTTTTAATGTGTTGAATTACATTGACTGACTTTCAAACAAGTCCCATTTGTTCACAATGGATCCTTTCAGTATATTTTTAAATTCAATTTGGAAAATTTTGCTAAGTTTTTTTTTTTTTTTGCAGTTATCTTCATGAAGAATATTGGCTTGTAGTTCTCTTTTCTTATAATACTTCCTTCTGTTTTAGACCATGGGGTAGTACAAGCCTCATTGAAGGACTTAGGAAATATCCCCTTCTTCTTAGTTTTTCATTATACAAAATTGTTAATATTTCTTCCCTAAATGTTTGGTAGAATTTGCCAGTGAAGGCTTTGGGGACTATAGCTTGCTTTGAGGGAGGGTTCTTAACTACAACTTCAATTTAAAAAATACGTACATTTTTTAGTTGTTGGTGAACTTTTATTTTATTCATTTACTTGTAGTGCTGAGAAGTGAACCCAGTACCTCACACGTGCTAGGCAAATGCCCTACTGCTGAGCTACAATCCCCTGGCAACTTCAATTTTTAAAATAGATTTAAGGGTTATTCAAATGATCTACTTTTTTCTTGAGGCTTTGGCAATTCGTGCCTTTCAAGGAACTTGTCTATTTTTATCTGTGTTGCCACAAATTCAAAATATTATATAATTCTTAATTTTTTATCACAAATGGGTTTTATTTTATTATTCTTTAGGATCTATGAAGTCAGTAGTATTATTACCTTTTTCATTACTGATATTAGTAATTTATGGCTAATTTTACCCTGATGAGTTTGGATAGAGGTTTATCAATTTGATTGATCTTCCCAAAGACCTGTCTGTTGATTTTGTCCCTTGGTTTTGTTTTTCTGTTTCATTGATTTAGCTTTGATTCTAAATATTTCTTTTCTTCTGCTTTTTTGATTTTAACTTATTCTTTTTTCTAATTTCTAATGGTAGACTCAGATCTTTCTTACTTTCTAATATAGGTGTTTAGTTCTGATATATTGCATTTTCATTTTCATGTACTTTAAAATATATTCTATTTTCTGTTTTTATTTCTTGCTTGATTAGTGGCTGTTTTAGTCCATCTGCACTACTAAAACAATACAATTTAGATTGGGTAATTTATAAGTAAAAGAAGTTTATTTCTTATAGTTCTGGAGCCTGGRAGGCCTATAATCAAAGCACCAGCAGATTCAGTGTCTGGTTGCTATGTCTTCATAAGGTGGACGGGGCAACTATCRCATTTTTACATAGCAGAAGGGGTAGAAGGGCTAAAGGTCCTAATAAGCTCCCTCAAACCCTTTTATAAGGGCACCTCATAAAAGTCTCACCCCTTAATACTATTCCATTGGTGAATAAGTTTTAAACTTATGAATTTGGGGGGACACATTCAGACTATAACAATGGCTTGTTTAGAAATATTACTTTTTCCTTCCAAATTATGGTGGCTTTTCCAAGAATAATTTGGTTATTTATTTCTTATTTAATTACATTGTGGTCAGAGTACACAGCTAGTGTGATTTGAGTCTTTTTGAATTTATTGAAACTTGTTTTGTCCAGATTATTGCCTATCTCCTAAACATTCTGTATACAATAAAGAACCTGTGTATTCTGCTGATTGTTGGAGGAATGTTCTATAAATATTAATCTGCTCAAGATGGTTGGTGTTGTTCAAGTCTTTTATAAACTTGATAGTTTTCTCTTTAACTTGTATTATAAATTAATCAGAGAAGGACRCTGGTTATAATTGTGAATTTTTCATTTCACAGTGGGGTACTATCATTTTTTGCTTCATGTATTTTGAAGCTCTGTTATTAGGTGTGTAAATGTTTGGGATTATTACATCCTTTTGATTAAATGTTTCCTTTGCCATTATGAAATGAGCTTATTTGTCTCTGGCAATATTCTTTGTTCTAAAATATRCTTTGTCTATCATCAATAAAACCAGCTTTTTTGGACATATCTTTTTCTATTTTTGTCCTATATACTTACTTTTGTCTTTATCTTTAATGTATTTTTTCCTTACATGCAGGAATTTGTAAAATCTGATCTGATAACCTTTGCCTTTGAATTAGGGTATTTAGACCATTTATGTTTARTATGATTATTAAATGCATCATCTCSAGGTTTCTTTCCATTTTCTCATCTTTGTTTATTTTTTGCTCTTTTCTGCCTGCTTTTAGAGTAATCAAATGTTTGTTTTATTATTCATTATATCTTTTTACTATACATTTTATTATTTCAACAAYACATCAGGAATGGTATAATATTCCTAAAATGCATAATTCTATTTCCCTTCTCTGATCTTTATGCCATTGTTCCCCAGCTTTGTACTTTTACATATATCATATAACTCATRATACATTTTTATTATATTTTTAAACAGTCAGTAATGTTTAAAGAGATTTAAATAATAAGAAAAATAATCATATATATTTATCATAGTAGTTATCCTTTCCATTGCTCTTTATTCTTTTATAAAGTTATAAATTTCCATCCGGTATCATTTTCCTAATGTTTGAAGTATCTCTCCCTTTAACATTTCTCATAATGAGAATCTACTAGTAATAAATTCTACCAATTTCTATGTGTGGAAACATTTTATTTCATTGTTTTTTAAGATATATTTTTGCCAAAAAAGACTTATAAGTTGAAAGTTTGTATTTAAGCTATATTGTCTTCTTGCTTGCTTTGTTCTAATAAGAAACTGATATTATCCTTATTTTTGTTCTTTTGTACATGTCTTTTTTACCTTTAGCTGCTTTTAAGATTTTYTTTTCTTATCACTGGTTCTGAGCAATTTGATTATGATGAACCTTAATGTAGTTTTCATTATGTTTCCCGGGCTCATGTTTCATTGAACTTCTGAAGATGAAAGTAAAGATGAAGTCTGTGAGTAAAGATGCTGATAGGAGGATTAAAGTAGTGATGAGAGCTTATTGAAATTCTGATTAATTCAGTGTTACTAATGAAATAGATCATTGGCTGAGATTCAGGATAGAAGAAAAGATGTTGAATATGAGAAAAAGTATAAAATTGTCATAAAGGAGGGTAGAAGAATGGAGGAACAGGGAACTTGAATAAGATTTTCAAGCATCTTTAAAGACCCACTTAAAGTTAGTGATCTTGAATTTAAAACCAGCATTGGTTTTTCTTCTATCAGGTTCAGCTGCAAGAGTGCAACACTTAGTAAGTACAAAGTTGGGATGTCCAGTATTGGCGAGTTGCCCAAGTGATTATGAAGCCAGATTTAAAATTAGGTAGTCAGTGTAGTTAGGTAAATCGGGTCTAACATCGAGTGAAATCTAAAATGGAGGCCATGCTGGGAATGACTCAGGGAAAACACGACAATTCATGGAATGTTAATGAAGTTCCAAAAAGGCCCTAGGCCAAAGTCCACCTGGAAGAAGTATTAACCAACAGCCTCAACAGATTTGGAGATAGCCCATCCCAGAGAAGTGATAATCCCATCCCAAAAGGTGATAATTATGTCTACCTGTGTCCCACCCCTCGGGCGAGCCCTCCAACCTACATTCCATCACCAAACCTATAAAAGGGGAACACATTTGCCCGCTAACTGGATTCCACCTCTTGGGTCCCCTTCTTCCTCCGGGAGAAGTCTTTTCTGCTGTCCTTTAATAAACTAATTTCTACTCTGACCTTGCCTTGGCGTGTGCTTTTTTGGTGTTATTCTTCAACATTGGGGAAGCAAGAACTAGTCACCTGTCAACAGCGGTAACAATTACAGCATCTCAGAGATGGGCAGACATTGAGAATATAAGCAAGGGCATGATTATATTGATTGGCCATAAAATATATCTATATCAAACTTCCTTAATCAGAGTGGAAACTATTAGAAGACAGTTCCTTACATTGAATATACATTGGTTGATCCAGTGTTTATTGGATGTATATATGTTTCTTAATAGTAGAAAGGGGGCTAAAGGAAGTTGTATCAGAGCCAATTAACAGTTTTTGAATGAAGTGTTATGTGTACAGTTCTGCCTGTCCTGGCTCCTGGGCAGCCTCCCCTTAATACCAACCACTCACTGTGCTCTCAACTCTAGATACACTGGACTTCTTCCTAACCCTTGCCATACACCTTTGTATATGCAGTTGCCTCTGCAGAAATGCTCTTCCATTACCTGGTAACTATTCATTTTTGCATCTAGGCTTTCCTGAGATATTCAACTATTCCTATRATAAACTCAGTATTTAGTTAGTATACTTCATTCTTAGTACTCATCACCGTTTTACTCTTACATTCGTGTCTTTGCTAGCTTTMTGCTACTATGCTTAAGCTTCCTGAGGACAGAGACTTGTTTATTTTTAGTTCCCACTGAAACTAGCATACTCTCTGGTAGATAGGTAAGTGGAAATAAACATTTTAAAATAGAGGGGAAAGCAAATAAGTGCCATATGCGAAGCCTAATGTCTCTCTTTTTCTTTTGTACCGGGAATTGAACTCAGAAGCACTCATCCTAACCCTATTTTGTATCTTATTTAGAGACAGGGTCTCACTGACTTGTTCAGAGCCTCACTTTTGCTGAGGCTGGTTTCGAACTGGCGATCTTCCACAGCCTCAGCCTCCCATCCCGTCAGGATTACAGACGCGCGCCACCGCGCCCCGCACGTCTGTCGTTCTTTTGGAGAATTCTGAAGGCCCTGACTAACACTACTTGCCTGTCTTTCAATGCTTTGCGGTGAATGCCACAGAGAGCTCACTGGCTGAAAAGAGACATTAAGAACCTGGTCCCAGAGCAGAGTCAGGTTCTGGGAAGCGCAGGCGCACTGAGCTCGCCGGATATGCGCAGAGGCGTGGGGCAGGGCTCTGGTAACCCAGGCAACAGCCCGGAAGCCGCGGGCTGCATTGAYCTGTGGCGCGCTCCGCGGTTCCTGAGCCTGAAGTTTTAGTCGCGGTGGAGGCAGTCGGAAAGCAGTAAGGCAGGTTAAGATGCGGGGAGGAGGTCTGCAGCCCCCCAGGCCCTTCAAGCCGCAGGGACCCGGACTACGGACAGGGTGGGGAGAACCGAAATGGTGTCTCTTTCTGTCCCCCTGGTCCGGGATCCTTACTACAGTAGGCCCGACGACACTCTGTGTGGTTTGACTGTGTGTGTTTCTGTGTTTCTGTTTAGCGTTTAGTGCGCTCTCGGCGCACCTAAGTGTGCGCATGCACACTGCTTTTGGGCACTTTTGCAGCGAGCTGAAAATTGAGGGTACTCGATTGTGTCTTTCAAAGGGTTTACGGTCCAGCAGGTGAGGAGACGAGCTACCTTGGGGTACTTTGGGACAGGGAGGATCATTTCGATTGATGGGTGTTCAGAGGGATTTCTGAGAAGGGCCCTCGAATGTTTTGAGGAGGCGAGGAGGAGAAAACCCGGTAGGGAATGGAGTGAGCTTCTCAGGGGTGTGYCAGGCACAGAAAAAAGAATGGAACTATGTGTAAAGGTGAGAGCTTGGTTTTGGGATGTGTGGGAGATGTGAGGAAAAAACTGAAAGGTCAGTCGGGTCACATGGAGGGGGAGCTCTGAAGCTGGGTTCACAAAAATGGGGCACCCTTTAGCTCTTTTAAGGAAGTGAGTAAAGGACTGAGATCTATACTCTATTCATGTTATCTAGGTAGGGTTAATGAAAGGGTTTGGAAAGAGACCTTATTTCCCATATAAGTCGAAGTGTATTTGCTAAAATTCTGTTCTAACTCCCTGCTTAAAGTTCTTCAGTGGTTTTTTGTGTGTTCAAATTGCCCTGTCTCCAAGGCCATGATCTGCCCCCTCTGCCTTTCTTTCTAGGCTCTTCAGCCTACGGCTCTCTCAAATCTTTGTTAAATGAAACTCATCAAGCTTTTGAAGTGCCTTCTCCCCTGCCTGGAACATCCCCTTCACCCCTTCTAACTTATTCATGCTTTAGCTCTCAGATTAAACTTTTTGGGTGAGTAGGGAGAGGAAGCACCCTTTTCTCATTGTGTAGAGTAAGTTAGGTATTTCCATGGCACATGGAATTTACTTCCCTCGTTGCTTTTTATTATAGTGACTTGTTTAATTGTGGTCCTCTGAAAAATTCTTGTGAGGGCACAGATGATTCCACTTTCTTGCTGTATCAGGTGCCTGGCTCTTAGCAAGCTCTTTTAAAATATTTGTTGAACTATTAGGTGGATAATGAAGTGAATGAATGATTGAGTGAAAGGAAAACAAAAGAAATGATGAGAACCTGGAAAAAATGTTCCTAAGAAATAGAAAAGAATGGATAGGTGGGAGACATATCTTAGRTAAAGAATTAATAGGCTCTGGTATCTGAGTGACTTAAGAGACAAGAAGGCTGTGATGCTAACTAAGGTTTTAAACTGGAACAACTAGAAGGATTACAATTCTGTAAGTTCAGATTAATTCAGCAGGCATTTACTGAGCACCCAATTATATATCAAGAACTAGAGGTTGAAGGGAATATGGATGATGAGCTGCATTTTGTATACTGTCTTTGAGATATTTGGGAGATATTGTACAGTGGCAGTTAGAAATAAACATTTAGTATTTTTAGGAAAGGTATGAATTTTTGATTTGGTACTCAGTTCAGCAGTTTGTGTGCCCATGGTATTCACAGCTTTGTTTAAGGGATTTGGTGAGATCCCTGAGGGAAGATGTGAATATCCCTTGGTGATCTAAAAAGTAAGCTCTATAAGAACTGACATCATATTAGACATTTCAGTATTTTATCTCCAGTGCCCAGCCAGAACATGGTATATAATCTRCTTCCCCAAACAATTATTGGATTTAATGGAAAGGTAATAGGGCTGGGGAAGAACTGGGTAGAGTCCTTGCTTAAGATGTATGTGAGGAGCAGTCAGAATATTCTGTGAGGGAGGGGGAAAAAAAACAGGAGAAAGAATGTCATGGAACCCAATGGAGGAAAAGGCTTCTAAGAGTTGAGAGTCTGCACTGAAGGAAAGTGCCTGAGAAATAAGAAGGAACCAGTAATTTTAGTAATTGGAAAGTTGGTAGTATTTCAGATTTTCCAAAGATAGGCCTGGATTTTCTGGGCTGTACTAATTTTATTTGATTTCTTAGCACAGTAAACCATCAGAATACCTCTGTCCTCACGTATAAGCAGTAAATAAAATGCATTCTTTTTTTAATATTTATTTTTTAGTTTTAGGTGGACACAATATCTTTTTTTTTAAATTTTATTTTTTATGTGGTGCTAAGAATCGAACCCAGTGCCTCATGCATGCTAGGCAAGCGTGCTAACACTTGAGCCATATCCCCAGCTAAATATTGCATTCTTATGATCTTTGGTTTCTATAAGTGGCACAAAATTTCTTTGTTAAACCACAAAATCTGATCCTTTCTTGAGAAAAATATCATCACCATTRTTGGTGATATTCAAGAGAACATTTTTCAGTGCAAAGATGGGATCAGAGTTCTTATGTTAGCAGAAACTTGAGGTGTAATTATGTTAGTAAATAGGTGTTAAAGTTTGCCTCTTTAGGAAGTTTGTTGGCAAAGGGAAGGCCAGAGATAGTTAGCTGCGTAATTACTTAATCTTAGTGATCTTACAGGGCTTATTTAGAGTCAGCCGGTTGCTAGTTTACTATTTAACAAATTACCACAATTTAGTGATTTAAAACAATTACACATTATTGTCTTCATCTCTTTTCTGATGCATTAAATGTGAGACTGGGCAATTTATTAAGAAAAGTTTTATTTAGCTCATAGTTCTGGAGTCYGAGAAATCCAAGATCAGGTAGCTACATCTGGTATAGATCTCATGTTGCKTCATAACATGGTCAGAAGAGGCAAAACAAGAGGGCAGCCACTTTTTATAAACAGCCCACTCTCTGGATACCCAATCCAGTTCCAAGAGAATTAAGCCAGTCCTCAGAAAGGCATCAATCTCTTTTAATGATCCAATCATCTCTTAAAAGCCCAACTTTGCAACACTGCCACAAAGGCAATCCAATTTTAACATGAGTTTCAGAAGGGRCGAACCATATTCAAACTCTGACATTGTCTCAGTTTCCATAGGTTATGACTTTAGACAAGCTTAGCTGAGTCCTGTGCTTAGGGTCTCACAAAGCTGTAAGAAAGATGTTGGCCAATCAGCGTTGGCATCTGGAGGCTCAACTTGGTAAACTCCACTTCCAGACTCACTGAGGTTGTTGGCAGAATTAATTTCCTTTAGATGTCTGTATCACTGAGCCTCCTCTATGCTGCCCTCAGCTTCTTACTGAGTACTGCCCTCAGATCCTCAAAGCTGCTTGAGTTCTGTGCCATGGGCCTTTTCCACAGTCAAAATGTGGCATTTTGCTTCTTCAAGGCCAGTAGGAGAGCATCTTTTGCTATGGTCATATCTAAGACTATGTTGTGTAACATAATGCAATCACAAGTCATAGTTCCTGCCCAAACATAAGGGAGAGTTACACAAGGGTGGGACTCATTAGAGGTCATTCACAACTAGCTTTACTAGGCTGAATTACYAAGTGAAAATATGAAAACAGATGCATACCTTTTTTTTATCACTGTGTCACATGAATATGGTTTTATTGAATAACATTTTCTTGTGTTAAAATTGGCAACTTTTCACATTCATGCTAATACTTAGGTATTTGATCATGTCCTTATTAATTTTCATATATTTTTGCTTAAATTTTTTTGTTTGGATGCATTGTATTTTCTATCACAAATCATTATTAGTGTACAAATAGCATGATAAAAGACTTCTTAAATTTTTGTTGTTATATCAGGGCTTCTTCTATGAAAAGAAGCAAATATATGGGCYTTTTGACAACTGGTTTTGACTATTCAGAAGCCCTTGCGTCCTTCAGATTCATGACTGTTTTTCATAATTGAGGCTGGTGGAATTTTACTGTCTAAATAAGAGTAATACTTTAAATATTAAAACTTCAAATAAAAATTCCTCCTATTTTAAAGAGTAACATAGATTCATTGTAGAAAATTTGGAAAATATGAACTCAAGCACAGTTAACCCAGTTTTATCAGTTTACTAGCTTATACTTTACAATCAGTAAGATCTGGTTTTGAGTGTTTTYTGCTCTTCTTATTATTTTTGTGACTTTGAGCAATTAACTTATACTCTCTAAGCCTTGTTTTTCTCATTTGGGAAAGGAATTAATGATTGTTTTTACTGACATCATTATTGACAGCTGAGCAGGACTTAGTCTACCAGGCAGGGATTCTAAACACCTTGCATATTGAATTAGTTCCATTTTAGAGTTAGTGGYAAAACCCAGTGTGTACCCAGTCTGTATCCAGATTGTTCTCTTCCATATTTTTTCTCAAGACAATACATGCCTCCTAGAGTTGTGGGATTAAATGTGATGCTTTTAGCACACAGAATAGTTTTATTAATAATGCATATAAGCATCATTGAGGATATACTATACACAAACTTCTGTATTCTATTCATATAGATTTATTGACATTACAATTCCCCTTTGCTTCTGCAGACTAAATTAGAAATCTAAGTGGTTAAAGATCTAGGTGGTTAAAATACACTAGGTTAGGTTCCTTTTATCCAGCAACTATTATATTTTCCTATATTTTTTTTAGATAACACCTTTATTTAGAGATAATTAGTAATCACAAAAAAATTTAAAGAATACAATTTAGAAGGTTTTAATATATTCACAGAGTTGTACAAGCATCACCACTATTCCATAACATTTTAGTCATCCCACAAAGAGACCCTTTGCTCATTAGCAGTAGCTTTCTCTTCTCTCCTCCCTCCAGACCTAAGCAACTACTTATCTACTTTGTACGTCAGTGGATTTGCCCATTCTGGACATMGATAAATGTTCTTATACAATATGTGGTCTTTTGTGTTCAGCTGTTCTTATAGTGTAGTTTTCAAGGTGTATCCATGTTGTAGGATATATCAGTACTTAAATTCCTTATTATTGCCAAATAATGTTCCATTTTATGGATATATCACATTTAWTTATACATTTATCAATTGGTAATTATTTAGGATGTTTCCACTTTTTGTCTATTAAAAATAATACAGCTATGTATAAGTTTTGTGTGACCATATGCTTTTAAATCTCTTGGGTATATACCTAGGAATAGAATTGTTGGGTCATGTGGTAACTGCTTTTTAACTGTTTGATGCATTGCCAAACTGTTTTCCTGAGTGCCCATATCATTTTACATTCCCATCAGTAAACATATGAGAATTCCAATTTCTCCACACCTGTCACTGCTTATTGTTTTTTATTATAGCAATCCTAATGGTGTGAGATGATATCTCATTGTGATTTTCATTGGTACTTCCCTAGGGATTGCTTAAATTGAGCCRCTTTTCAGGTGCTTATTGGCCTTCTGTAGTATCTTTTTTGGAGAAATGTCTATTCAAGTCCTATGCCCATTTTAAATTGTTTTTAAATTTTTTTTTTTTGTAGTGGAGTTATAAGAATTCTTGATATATTTTGAATATACATCCTTTATCAGTGTTATAGTTTGGATCTTAAATGTCCTGCAAAGGTCCATTTGCTAAAGGCTTTGTTACCAGCCAGTGGTGCTGTTGGGAGGTGGTGGAACCTTTAGAGGGTATTACTTAGTAGAAGGAAGTTAGGTAATTGTTGGGGAGAGGGTGTTTATTTGAAGGGGATGTTGAGACTATCCCTTCCTATCTCTCTTTTTTTTCCTGGCTGCTGTGTGGTGAGCAGCCTCTCTACTATTTGTTCCTGCCATGGTATTGTTCCTCACAGGTCCAAAGCAACAGGGCCAAGTGACCATGRACTGAAACCTCTCAAACCATGAGCCAAAGTAAACCTTTTGCTKTATTAAATTGATTATTCTAAGTGTTTTTCACAGCAGCAGAAAGCTAACACAATCGGATACAATAATTTGCAAATATTTTCTCCATTCTGTCGTTTGTCTTTTTACTTTACTTTCTTAAAGATTTGTGCCTTTGTGCATAAAATTTTAAATTTTGATGCTGTCTAATTTGTTTTTTTTAGTTGCTTATACTTTTAGTGCCATAGCTAAGAAACCATTGCTTAACTCGAGTTCCACAAATATTTATGCTTATGATTTATTTTTTTAATATTTATTTTTTAGTTTTAGGTGGACACAATATCTTTATTTTTATGTGGTGCTGAGAATCAAACCCAGTGCCTCATGCATGCTAGGCAAGCGTGCTACCACTTGAGCCACATCCCTTATGATTTCTTAAGAGTTTTATAGTTTTAGCTTTTACATTTAAATGTGATTCATTTTAAACTAAAATTTTTTATGATATGAAGTAGTGGGATAGCTTATTCTTTTTTATATGAATATTCAGKTGTCCCAACACTATTTATTGAAAAGATTATTCATTCCCCATTGAATTGTCCTGGCACTCTTATTGGAAAATAAACTGACAATGAATGTAAGTTTGTTTTGGACTTTTAGTTCTATTCTGTATCTTTTAAAGTGATATTTATGTCTCTGCTACTTACTGTGAACATTACAGTTGGATAACTCTGTTCCTTAGTTTTCTCTCTATAAAATAAGTAATAAACARTTAAGTACTTCATGGAGTTACTGTGAGGATTAAAGAAGATACTATGTGTAAGATACTATACTTAGTATAGTATCTGGCTTATAAGAAACAATATGTGATAGCTGATGCCAATATTACTACTGTTACAATTATCATCATCATCACCATCATCATGCATTTAAAAACATTTGATATTATTCCTAGATGTCATTGGTCAGAGTGAACCGTTACTGTCCCCGGGGAAGTGGAAGAAAAACACTGAAARTGAAGAAGAAGAAACCTTCAGTGAAGCAAGAATGGGATGTAAGTCTAGGTGGGATAATAAATAATATAATGTTACTCTGGAGGAAGAGACACGATGACAAGGGTCTAGCCTCTCAGAACTGTGTTTTGAATGGTGCTCAGTATTTAATATGGTAGAAGAAGTTTCTAGGCCTGTTGTATCCTTGATTTTAGAGGAAAAAGCAAAATTCTTTGGGATACTCATGTCCAAGCTCTTTTAAAGACTTATAATTTTCACGAGGCATAAAGTAYTTTTTAAAAAAGTCCCTTCTCCTCCACTTTGAGAACTCATTGCTCTAAGGCAACTCTGATTAACCTGTGTCACTGAAGTCTATGAATTTTTTTAAATTTTGGTACTTTTTTTAGATTAGCCTTTAATMACCAGTGATACCATAATTATGTGGATGGCACTTTGGACTGAAAAYGTGAGTGAACCTGGCTCTCTTACCCCTTGATTTATTTGTTGCATACCCAGAGGGTAGTCAGATTCAGTACAAGATTCTCTTAAGTACCTGGAAYATATATGAATCCTGGCTTCTAATCTGAGTATTACCTGGTATAATCTTTTGCAGCTTGATACTTGGGTATGGACATTATACTTTAGGTGCCTTTACTTTCCATTGTTGAGAGTAACTAGTCAGAGACTAGTTTGGATCTCAGGGATTTTATTTTGGACTTRGAATATTCTGGATAACACTGACTGCCTTAGTCAGATATTTTGGGCAGATCTGATTGGCTAATTACTTATAAGTGTTTTATAARTATTTAGCCAATACTCTCCTTCAGAGTAGTTACTTTGGGAGGTTCAGGATTTATTCATTATGTAGCTATTGGTCAAAAATTGAATCAAAACCTATCATTTGAAATTGCATCAAGAACCTTCCTTGTTTACGTTTTTGTTATCTCCAGTGCTGGAAATTTTTTTTTTTTTTTTTTGGAGGTAGACTGCACTTGGAAAAYAGTCATAGATCTTTTGGAGTGAATGGGGAGAGATCAAACTAATTAATAGAATTTTGRTAAGAATAGCAAAACATTTTCTGAAATGGCTTATAATTAGATTTAAARCAATTTCAAAAGAAAATAGTTCTAAGCAATAGTAGTACTGGTAAAATGATATTTTCCCCCATGAAAGCTAATTCTAAGCATGTCACTTCTTTGTATGCCTAAATTTTACTAGGATTATTAAAAATAGTTGTACCTCTCTGCATCAATGTGTAAGGAATAACAGTTTTTGCCTTGAAAAATCCTTGATCTAAATACAAATCATGGYCAAAAAATTTAGTTTTGAATATATTGGAAATTATTTGGGTTCAGTTTTCTTAGTATATCCCACCATTTAGAAGTGAAACTCAGCCAGYGATAGTGGTACACTYCCATAATCCCAGAACCTCTGGAGGCTGAAGCAGAATGATTACAAGTTCAAGGCCAAWCTGGTCAATTTAACAAGATCCTGTCTCCAAATAAAAGATAAGAAGGGGTAGGGATGGAGCCTAGTGGTAGAGTGCCTATGRATTCAATCCCCAGTACTGGGAGAAAAAAAAAAAAGTAAAATTTTAAATTGTTTTTATTTTCTGCCTTGTTAAATCTGTGACAAAATGACTRATGTCATTTTGGAAAGTGCCAAATTTCAGGACTGCTATTTAGAGCTGTGCATCACATCATTCAAGGGGCTGCTATTAACATGGAATAGGATATTCATGGTACTTCCTGGAGTTGTGCAGTGAGATAACCCTGCCATGTTGGTTTAATGCCTTTTATATAGGTCACTGTTTTCATATTTTATAAGGTTATGCAATGCCTATATATTTCATCTCTTATTGTAATAATTTCTATGTGTAAGGTATTTGTGGACACTAATTGAACCTTTCTGTAGTGATCATACTTTCTATTAGAAATCTTTCCAATTGGAATTCTATAGAATACAGTTTGAAGATTACAATTTTAGTTAAATTTACTCATTTTGAATATATATTACCCTTGTTTATTCCTTGTTTTAATGTAACTGAGTACTTATTTTCTGTAAGACATCTAAAATTGGCCTGTTACTTTCTATAACACTGTAAATAATGTGTTAATTTTATATTGAGAAAACTGGTTCYTAGAAAGAAAGAATTTTTGGTATTAGCGTTTTGAATCAATTTCCAGCCATCAGAACCTAGTAAAC